TCGCTCCCTCCCTCCTCCTGCCACGGTCCTGCTTCCCTCCTTCCCCCTTCCCCCCTCCCTCCCCTCCTCCCTTTCCTCCACCCTGGCCTCCCCCGCCTCCTCGGTCCCCGCCGTCTCCTCCTGGTCTGCGTCCCACGCGTCCTCCCCCACCAGCTGACAGAGCTGGGCGCGGATGGAGGTAGTGCGTTGGAGCGAGACACCCGCCTGCTCAGGGGAAGAGGGAGGGAATGTTGAGGCAAAAGGAGGGAAAGAATACAGGGAAGTGCCAACTCACAAATAAACTCAAAAGCCCGCCTGTCAACCCTCTTTCCTCCCCTTCATCCCCCTCCCTCCATCTTTCTCGCTTCCCGCCCCTCGCCCCACCTGCGCCCAGGGAGAGATGCACCAGATCGGCGGACAGTACGGTCGTTGCAAGCTCGGACAGTCATCCGTGACGGCCCTGATCAAATGACCACGTCCTGAGGGAGGAGAAGGGAGGGAATGGGGGGAGGTGGGAGGGAGGACCGGAGGAGCAAGGAATCATACGTATCCAAGACTCGAAGAGAAAAGGGAGGGAGAATGGGGGGGAATGGCAGGCTTTCGCGCGTCACTCACCCCGAAAGAGGCGTGGCGGGCGGCGTATACAGTACAAATACCACAGGATGACACCTCCTACCCAGACGATCAGTATGAGGGCGCACGTCAGCAAAGTCATGTAGGCTTCGTATTCCACCCCAAAGGGTCGAAGTGCTGCTGAAGGTGTCACAGGATAAGTCGAAGAGGAAGCGGAAGAAGGCGTCGAAGAGAGAGGCGCGGAAGAGAGCTCGGACAAGGAGGGTGTGATGGCAATGGGCACCCTCGGGAACGGTGATGTCCAGACGCGGTTCATGATGTAAGGATCCATGCTGTAAGAAGGGTTGGAAAAAGAGAGGGTCATGACGTGGCATATTTTTACGTATCGAGATATATAAAAAAGAAACGACGGTCACTTGACATCTAGGGCCCGTCAAACGAAGCGAGGGAAGGTGGAAAAGAGTCGTGCGGAGCGTCGATCTTGTTCTTATAGGGACACGCGTGTTCCAGATCTGAAGTCAGATCACTGGGTGACAAAGGATCAGTGCGTGCTGTCCGAGAAATTGCGACAGTCTCTACCACAGAGGACTTGACAGAAATCCATGGCACAGAACCAGAGATGTGAGGAAAAACAACGGTGGGCATAGGTGGACGACATGTCAGTGTCGTCCACCTTTCAAGATCAATTCAAGGCGAGCGTGGCCTTTCCGAGGTAGTTCGTGAACGTAAGTGTCTATGACAGCGGACGGCCAACGTCAAGCTTGCCTCAAACTTGCGGCGTTCCCCCCAACACGCCACGGCACGGCCTTCTCTCCCTACGTCAGGAATAACGATGTTAAAGTGGGTATACACAGCATGCTTTTATCTGGATGCAGGTGTTGTCCGTCTCTGTGAGATTATGGCGGGTATGATCCTTGAAAAAGACCACGCACGCATTGCCTCGCTCAGGGGCCCAACGCCATCCTTAGCTAGAAAAAGGTTGCGAGTTTATGTGGTCTCACCCCCTTGCAATTGTATGACATGCGCTATGTTTTTTTTCAATGCGAGATAATTGAGAATCGGCAAGCATACATGGGTTTTGGTCAATGAAAGCCAGAAAGGAAGGTCATCATGCATCAAATTGTTCTGTCTTGGCCGCCTCCTCCCCAGTCCTTCCTCAGCTCGAGTATGTAACCTTACCTGTGCTGTACCATTATTTTCTTGAAGTATTACAAATTTCTAACAAACATTCAAGAAATGAGGGTGTCACGCATCTTCGTACCTGGCATTTTTCCGATGCCGTTTCCCTTGGTCCCAAAGGAACGTACACAAGCAAAGCAGTAAACCCCAATGCCTTTTTTGACGAACTTCCTCTGGGTTCAGTCTAAAAACCTCTACCTATGAACTCTTTTACATCTACTAGCGCTGCTGTAGTGCTGGCTACGGCAAAATATTGTCCTTGCTAGCTCGTTACGCGCCGACTGGAGAACTAGTGAATTCTGCAGTGACTTGCACACGGTAGAGCCGAGAAATCAAGACATTGCTACACAGTAAGATGAGAAGCAAACATCAGTAAGGAAAAACAAAAGAAAACAACCAAATATAGAAAGTCTTTAACCAAGATAATATTTTTCAAAATTGATTTCAAGAGCAGCGTCTGACTAACTGCTCCAAAGCCGCAAAGTCTTGTCGTAAGCAATAGAGGCTAGCAGGCATGAGGCCGGGTCAAACGTCATGTCACGCACCAAAGCACGGTGGCCCTGTAAAATTTACGAAATTTGGTGTTTCGAACGACGAAAACGTGAGGGATGTGGAGGGAATCGAAGAAGGGTCTATGCAAGTCACTACCAGTTTCCGTCATGATTCCCAGGTCCTACGTTCCTGTTTTCCTCATACCTTCAGTTTCACAACGACCCGCTCAGAAGCTAGCGACCACCCTACCAGCTCATTCCCTTCTTGTGACGAGCAGTAGACGTAATTACCGTTCCGATCCCAGGCGACGCGGGGATTACTAGAAGTAGGATCGAGGCGAAGGAGGAAGTGAAAAATGGAGACACACACACGAGGATGACAAGATAAAGGTAGCTCGTTTTGAAAATCGCATGGACCGTCACGACGTCGTCAGTGATTATTCAAAGCATACCTGTATTCATCGGCCCTGTGCCCGTATAAGGAACGTAGCTGCTCATTATGCCCTATGCGGTAAAGTATAACGCGCGATTTGTCTGAGAGATGCGTTGGGAAAAAAAAGATGAAGAAATTAAGTCGAGAGCGCGAAACATAGAAATAAGCCGATAAGACACATGAGGCATAGTGGGAGAGGAGAAAGGGGCGTAGGCGACGAGACCGACCTGTGGCGGCCAGCAGGAATTCCTGGCAGGGGGAAACGGCCAGAGAGAGGACGGAGAAGGAGACATGCGTGTCCCACAAGGCGTTGTTGAGAGAGACCGTGTGCTTCTCGAAGGAGTCGCAATCGATGTAGGTCAAATGCGCCACGTTGCGGGAGGCCACGATCAGAAAGGGCCGCGAGCAAGCTTAGGGGAGGAGAAGGACGGGGAGGGGAAGGGCGGGGAGGGAGACATGAACAGCCGTGGCAAAACGCGTACGCCCTCAACTCCGGCACCATCCCCCCTACCGCTCAACCCGCCTTCCCCTCTCGTCTGCGCCTCCCCTGTTTCAAGAGGTTTGAGAACTTTCCCACAGCCGCTGGCGGGGCGGTCCACAAAGGCGAGCGCTTCGACGTTGCCCAGGAAGTAGAAGGACTTGAGTGGCCCCCCCCCGTTGCTGTCATACAGGTACACAGCCCTGAAATGGTGGCAGGAACGAAAGGGAAGGGGGAAGGGGGGAGGCACAAGGGTGAGGAGAAAAATGGAGCTCTGCAGGACGGCAATTCCATCTATTCCGTCGTTAAAGGAGGATTACGAGCATGTGACCACGCCCTCCCAAGACGTGTACCTGTCTGTTTCCTCCCCCCTCCTCCCTTTTCCTTCCTCTTTTCCCTGCCCCCCCTGCCTCTGCCCCCTTTTCCTTCCTCAAACCTACTTATCGTGCCCGCCTGTCGCATACAGACGGCCGCATCGAGACCAGCGGCCTATGACTGCGTGTTTCTCGTGATCCTAAAATGAATAGGACGCAGGGGGGTCGGGGAGAAAAAGAGAAAGGGAGGAGGCAACGACGAGGAATAGAGGGGGCACACGAATGAGTAAGATCCTTTTCTTGTCAGAGACATGGACGCCACGCAACAGACATGGCAGGAGAGGGGCCCGGATCAGTCGGGGGCCCCGCCGAATGAGAAAGAAGGGTAAACGAATGATCCATTGGACGGGAGGGATCTACCTTGCGCGCGTGCACGACACAGGCATCCACGGGACGATGTTTATTGAAATGAACCACGCTGTGACTGCCGTCCATGCACGTGACAAGGAGCCTCCCCTGGTGGGCGGGGGGGGATGAGGATGGAAGGAAGGTAAGAGGAGGTGTGGGGCCCGCTCGGGACCTGGTCAAGGACTTTAGAGCCCAGACATCCTTCAATGTTCCTTCCCATTCCTACCTCCTCCTCCCCTGCGGCGAAAAAGTCGAGGCTCAGCAGGGGCCCGCCGAAGCCTGAGAGGACCAAGACCTTCTCGGAGGGACTGCCACTACTCGCAGAGGGAGAGGAGAAGAATGATGGAAAAGCGGTGGAAAATAATCAGTTGTAGTGTGATGCGAGGCGACACCTGATCATATGTTTTCCCAAGTGTCCTATATCAGGTAAAATTCCTTCATAAATACTCCGTTCCTACCGCCCTCCTCCCCTCCTTGTCTTTACTTTGTCTCGACCCTGTAGAGAGTCAGGAACTTGTCAACGCCACCCACTGCCACCAGGACCGTGTCAGGAATGAAAGGAGCGGCAGAGGCAGGGAGGGAGGGAAATGTGCAGATGCGGACGCAAAGAGGGTTGAGTCCGCCTCCAACACCTTCTACCTCTGCCAACTGGAGAAAAGAAAGGGATGAAGCGAGAAGGTTGGTCGCGGGAAGGTGCGAAGTAGATGGCGATACAGAGATCAGAAGAAGCGCAAAGAAGGGCATAAAGACTTTTCTCTCGAATTGCCAGGAGACGCTATGCCAACTCGCCTATCTATTACAATTTTAACATACCTCTTGCGTAATATACTTTGCTCCATCGCATTCTTCCAAATAAGTGGTATTGATCGGCAAATCAAAGATACCGATTCCTGTTTCTGGCGCGATATTCGATTGTCCATCCACGACCGAAAGAGGTTCTTGTGCTGGATAATTGTGCATGTGAAAAGCGAAAAAGGCAGGGAGGAAACAAGTGAGAATCAGAGACTTCCATGGCCTTGACCACGACAACATCTTCCATTTTTGGTACCTCAACTTCGCATAAACTCTCCAAAGTAAGTGATTTCATCGACTCGTTGCCATGCGACCAAAATTTCCACACCCCTCTAGCTCCTCCGGTCCATCGTACCTCTGAGTCTTTCGTTCTCCACTGCCAGGAGGTCGTTCTCCTCCTCCAAAGCGTGGATTTTTCGGTGCAATGTCTTTATCAGCTCCAAACACTCGATTTTTTCCTTCTCGAGCGTCGCAATACGATCATGTAACTGTGCTGTATCCGCTGCCATGGGTAGGCGCTGTGTCGGGGACTGGGGAAGTAGAATAGGATGACCGTGACAGTTGAAGTTTGGCTGTGATGCCGCGACAGTCGAAAGTTCCACTTGGTCATGCGAGTTTATGTTCCCTCCCTTCCCTCTTTTCCTGGTATTTGCATTCTGCTTTCCAATTCTGAATACACATCGACTGTTTCAATAAGCATACAACCAGGTTTGTATTTTGACTTTTTGTCGACCTCGTTCTGTGGTTCATTCCTTGTAAAGGCATTAATTGTGCGTGCTGTCTATGGAGCAACGTACTATATGTACCAGGATCCTAGAATAGACAAGACATCAATAGCTTGGCTATGACCAAAACATACATCATTAATGCATAATCTAGGATCGAAAATGACCAAATTAAAGCATAAGGCCTTGACTGTCTCCCAGGAGCTGTCTGCCGCGGGCCTGATACCTGATGTACTCCCCGACGATTTTCGAAGCGCATATTCTGTCAACGCCACATTTGGGTGCAATAATTTCGACTCTGGGGCAAAAGTTCCTCCAGGAGAAATGGATCATCCTCATCCGGTGTATAAGTTGATCGAAGCTCGACATGGGAGCTATTACACTTTCATCTTGGTGGATCCTGATTCATCTTCCATGCAGGGCTCTCGCAGCGAGGTACAACTTTTACACCTCGTGACAAATGTGTCGGGACAACAACCAGACAGTCGTAATGGGAACGAAGTAGTTCCCTATAAAATTTCGAGACAAGACCAAGGCTACATTCATGGTACTCATCGCTATTTGCTGATTGCTTTGGAACAGCCTCAGGAAGGACAACAACAATTGCACATCGCTCCGCCGAAGTACCGCACGCACTTTTCCGTCTTGAATTTCATTCATATGAACAAGGTGAAACCTGTGGGAGCTACATTGCTTCACGTGTCATGGGATGATTATCGGCCAAGTAAATCCAATAGCACGAATGCCCAGGCACGAGAGCAAGACAGCTTAGCCTACGCTGAGTCCATGGTCAGAAAGTCCAAGTTGCTCAACGAGCTAGTCCTGGAAGGGAGTGTACATTTCAAGGTACCTGTAACTCTGACAATCAATGAAGAGATTGTCAACGCTGGGGATGAGGTGCCTGCCCAGGTCATGGATTTGGCTCCTGTGGTTCAGTTTCACCCAGGACTCGAAGAAGTTCGAAAAGCTAAGGCTTTGTATACAGTGATATGTGCGGATGCCGACTTCCCTTCCATACATCAGCCGACCGATCGGTCCATGCTTTTGATGCTTGCGACAAACATTCCTGGCACTTCGGGGGACAGTCGTATTGGCGACCCCGTGGTGCCTTACGTGTCTCCCTTGAGACTTGCAGGTAGTACGGGAATCCATCGCTACTTTGTTCTGCTTTTGGAGCAACATGGTGGTGCTCTTGAGGAGGGTGCTATTGATCCGCCTGAAAATAGGCGAGCCTTTTCTTTCCATGATTTTTTGAAAACGCACACCAGTCTTGAGGCAGTGAGTGCAACCTTCTTTTTAGGGCGCCGCAAAGAATGATGCATGAAAATCGTAAACTATGAGATATAGGAATAGATCAGGTGTTTGCATGATACGTCTCGTGGAGCAGAGGAGGCTCTCTCACAGAGACTTTGTGGCTATTATGAGCATATTCTAAGGAAGTAGGTACGTTAAAAATACAAGACTTGAGATGTTGAACAAGTCATATTGGTACAACAGATATATTTCGTTGAGTGATGGGCAAGATTTCTGGCAAGGGGTAGATGATTAAGAGCTCTTGAAAGGATACGCACACAAAAGACAATTGCATGTCGCCACCGCTCATGAAGTATGCATGCTTAAGCGTATTTTCTTGTGAACTTTACGTCAGGGTGCTGCTCTAAACGATTGGGTTGCGCGAAAACCTAAAATCCTAACAGCGCACCATTCTTACGAAAAGCTTGCTGCATGGGCTTGGAACTGTCGACTTTTCATGGATCCGTTAATGGCCGCAGTCGTCTGAATATTAGTCAGCTCACTCTATGAGTGCACGTTTCCAAAGGTCGCCATTTCCCCACTCTTCACGTTTATATCTATCCTCGCATTTTTACATCGTTTTGACTTTGCTCTTTACAACCTCGGCGGGGGCCGGGCACCAGAAGAGAAACAATGGCTGCAATGCCACCTGACATGCTGTCCCGTTTTTTGTTCCTTCTCCGAGGCTGGGATGACTTTGCCTTCAAAAGAAGCAGGCCTCACACACACTCTCTAAAGGTTCCGTCGTTCTCCAACTTACTCTCCAAGAAAAGGGCCAACCACCCGAAACCGACACTATCATGAGCCTCTTCGACCACCTGATCGACCCCAATCACATGTACTCTTCCGGACACAGATCTTTTGTTGGTGTCGGTAATCGCTGCCTAGGCCACCATGTGTAAGCTCCAGACCATGTCATCAGGATCGGGACCAGGAACGTCCGCACGATGAAAGTATCAAGGAGGACAGAGACGACGAGGAGGAACGCGGTCTGATTGAGGATAAGCTGAGGAGCGAGACGGAGGAAAAGACGACAGAAGAGGAGAGAGATGAAAATGTAGTTAGGAAAGTGTCCTTCAAAGCCCCGAAATCCCTTTCTTTGTGTCGGGTCTACTAACCTCGGAGGAGAAGAGGAGGCCTGAGAAAGCTACAGCCATAATGATACCTGTGACATGGTAAGGAATAGAGCGATATAATATAGTCTCGTAAAATACTGCAAAGCCGCAACTGAGACCCTACATAGCCTAATTTTTTCTCTTTCTGTTCCATTATCTGTCCTCTCTTACCTGCCGCCGTGATGATGTGTCCCGTGTTGACCATGCCCCGCACCAGGGCACCTGCAGGAGGGATCGTGCCAGAGAGAAAAAGACGAGAAAGGAGAAGAGGTGTGGAAGTGGAGGACGGGGAGGGGAAGGGCGGGGAGGGAGACATGAACA